TGTTATTACAAAGCAAAAAAAATCCTATATTCAAAATATTCTTCAGACACCTTGGTCTTCTGTCAAACATGTATCATTAGCTTTCACAGCCTTCAAAAAGAATGCTGCCTTCTTACATTTTAAATACCCAAACATGAGGCATCCTCACCTATCCAAAGGATCAAGACTGTTGTCAAGCACTGTGATACAACGAATAAGATTTCCATAACAGTTAAAACTAAAGGTGATTGTATGTAACAGGCTTGTGAAATATGAATTTATGAAAATGAAAGGATGCTGCAAAAGTAATAGAATATTTGTGAGTTTAATTATCACTCATTGTTTAATATATAGTATTGTTTTTGAAAAGGATTTTAGGAAAGTATACTCAACATAACATTAAATTACATTCAAATTTAATTAAAATCTTGGCAAAAGAAAATAGAAAAAGTATGTAACAGGCTTGTGAAATATGAATTTATGAAAATGAAAGGATGCTGCAAAAGTAATAGAATATTTGTGAGTTTAATTATCACTCATTGTTTAATATATAGTATTGTTTTTGAAAAGGATTTTAGGAAAGTATACTCAACATAACATTAAATTACATTCAAATTTAATTAAAATCTTGGCAAAAGAAAATAGAAAAATCAAAGATAGGACAAAAGCCAAGAAAATTGCTTAAAATGTGTATAATTGTAGCTTGGTATTGGTGTCAAACTTGTCTTGAAGTTATGTGTCCATAAATATTTGATTCTACTACAGATAGGAGAGACTCAGCATATGGTTTAAACAATATAATACACAGATTTACTTTCTCCACACAGAAAAGCTCAGAGACACCCACTCTAGGACTGGTGAGGGAACTCAACTCTGCCCAGTCCCCAGGGACTCAGGTTTCTCCATTACACCCTCGGCTTCCCCAAAACCTTGTGCCTACGTGTCACAACAGCAGTCTTCCTATCCTGGACAAGAGGATAAAGACAGGAGATGAAGAACGAGCACGCGTCACCTGCCCATTTTTCCCTAACAATGATTACTAGAAATCGCCACTGGATATTTCTAATTTCATTTCATCATCCAGGATCTAGTGACACAGTCACTCCTAACCACAAACTAAGCAAGAAATACAGTCATCATTCTGTGTAGACATAGATGCTGCTACAATGTGTTACCATGCACAGGGCAGAGCAGACCCAAAGGACAGGAGTGCCTTCTATAACTTCACAGCAGCCAAGAAAGCTTCCAAATAACAGACTTGTAAAGATGAACAATTGCTCAAGAAATTACAGCAATTCTTAGCTAAAAGGTTAGAAAGGTATGGCTTTGGAATTATTTATACAAAAGCAAAACTTGGGGACTGGCGATGTGGCTCAGCTATTAAGAGCACTGGCTGTTCTTGCAGAGGACCTGGGTTTAGTTTCCAGCGCCCATATGGTGGCTAATATGGCAGCATTGGTAATTCCAGCTCCAGGGGATCCAACATCCTCTTCTGGGCTTCGTGGACATCGCACAACACAGGTTTACTTACATACAGCAGGCAAAACACTCATACATATAAAATAACAACAAATAATGCAGCTGGAAAGATGACTCAGCAGTTAAGAGCACTGGCTGCTCTTATAGAGGACCAGGGTTCAATTCCCAGCACCCACATGGCAGCTAACAACTGTCCATAGCTCCAGTTCCGACAGATTCAATGCCTTCTTCTGAACTCCATGGGTATTGCACAACATAGGTGCACTTACACACATACAGATAATACACATACTCATACACATAAAATAAAAGTAATATATGTACAGCCAATTTTGTCAGAGATGCAGCCTAGCTCAGAAAATTGTTATTGAATATGTCAATGCTGATGTAATGAAATGCTTCTTCTAAGTATGTGGTTATTAAATAATTTAAGTTAAAAAAAAACCCAAAAATCTAAATAAAAGTAATAAAAGTGAAGCTAGCCACAATCGAGCAGGACCTTTGACTTATCTTCACACAGATGGAACTAGCAAAAGAAAGGAGCCAGGGCCTCCTCCCAAGCCTGTGTGACCCCTGAGGAATAGATCCTCAAATGACCTTTAAGAGTAAAAATATATTAGTTAATCTGGGTCAACTGTATGGTATTAAACACCCAAAAGGAAAGTATAACCAAAGATTAAAGTGATCAGTTTAATTCTTTAAGAGTCCATGTGTATAGCTAAAGGCTACATAACAAGAAACAATGCCAGACAGGAGATACCTTCCTTTGAGTTTTTGGCCAGGTGGCCCAAGAGACTCCCAGACAGTAACCCAGCATAGAACTGGGAAAATGAACAGCAGACCCCAATCTTACCTAAAGGAATGTTGGCAGCTGATTGCTACTAGATGAAGAAAAGCTCATCTTCCTAAAACAAGGAACTCTCTGGGGCTGGAGAGATGGCTCAGCAGTTAAGAACACTGGTTGTTCTTGCAGAAGACCCAGGTTCAAATCCCAGCACCCACATGGTAGCTAACAACTGTCTGAAACTGCAGTTCCAGAGGATCCAACAGCATCTTCTGTTCTCTGAGGGCACTGCACGACGCAGGTACAATTACCTACACATAGGCAATACACGCATACACATAAAATAATAAAATATTTTGTAAAAAAAACCAAGGAACTCTAGATAGTCTGACTAGACTCAGCAGATGGACTAGCACTGAGTAACAGCTGGGGGTACTGATAACACAGTGCACAGTAACAGGGATGACAGAGTATATGGGCTCCAGTTGCAGGGGCGGGGGCTTTGGGAGGGTGCCATTTGGAATGCGGGTATAAAGAGTCATAAGATTGTTTGGGATGTTCTGTATGAAATACGCACACACAAATCAATAAACAAAAAATGAGTTAAAAATAATAAATAAAAATATTTTTAAGTAAAAAAATTTTTAAACTTTGATATCTTCAACAATACCCTTACTATATCAATGCACTGATTTCATAGGATTCCCAACAATATATTCAATTTAAAGACAACATGACACTGATTTTATTTTTGATGTGTTTTTAAAATCATCACA